GTAACGGGAATAATGGTTGCTTGAGTAATTATCTTTTTGGTTGATAACTTACTGATGGGTTGTAATATATGTGAGACATCTCTTATTTATAAAGAAGTTATTTTTATACCAATACAAAAAGAAATGCATTAAATATGGGGAGACCAGACGTCCCCGATTTCTGGGGACAGTCCCTGTTTGACCACCGGTCTCCAGAAATGTCCCCGATTTTGTGAACGAGGGGGAAAATGTTGCATATAAACTGTTATTATGGTAGAAGGAGCGCGTTAGCATGCTGCGCACAGAAACAGCTGTTAGCGTACAGATGAGGAGCAGAATGCACGTTTCAAAACAGACGAGGAAGTTCGTTATCCCAGTCGGCTGGACGCAGTTATACCGAAATCCCACGTCCTCCGTATCCACTGCGCTCCAGACCGCCTGCGCAAAGCAAAGCCTACAGCCTCCGCTGGTCCTGCGCTACGACTTCCAAGGAGCTCAAAGAGAGCAGGGGCCATATTATTGTAAAATTTATAGGAGCAAAACATGCGGAAATTAACCATTAATTTAATAGAACATATTAAATAAAATCCCCATCAGCATCCAGCAGATGTGCAGCTTCTGCCCTAATATTTAGTTTTTGTTGTGGATCATATCTTTACATTTATATCTAATCACAAAAATAACAGCTTATTTAAAACAAAAAGCACAGCTGCATCTATGAATAGAAAATAGGATTGTGAAAATATATTCCTCTTAGGTTGCACTATAAGTTTATTAAAGGACAGATTATTTTTATGCCCTGAGATCTTATTGTTCATTCATGTAAACGTGTAAAGACAAAACATGTCGTTTTGGTGCAGCTCCTTCAAGCTGCATGAGAAAGATCCGGCTTTATAGATGTGTTTTAATTTAATCTGAATATAAACATCTAACCTAACTTTTTTAATAGTGACACAGATTTTAATCCAGGCTGCTGGAGGCGACCCAATGCTCTGCAGCTGACCAGGATACAATAGAAACAACTGGAGGCCATTTCTATTTATAGTTAGCTTTATATAGAAAAATAATGTTTTTCAATTTGTCAGACTCTGCATTGATGCAAACTGGCCTGAACACAATATGAATGACCAGATAATATTGATTGACATGGGCGGTTCTAGACAGGGGCCAACGGGGGCCAGTGCCCCTATAGATCATGTCCTGTTATGGCCCCTGTACTGAAGACATAATACTCAAATAAATTCTAATGATGATCTGCGCTGAAACAGACATGGTTACTGATAAATCCTTTGGATCTATTTTTTTTTTCTTTACAAATTCTGTTTTATTAACTGTTTAAAAACATATAAGTGGTATTGAGATAGGATCCCAGTTTTCATCTGCTAAATGTTTTTTTTCCAAAACAAATGTAAAAAAAATATTCAGCTATTTTTAACAGTTTTTCTTAAATTCTAATTCAGATTTTATAGAAAACTTTAATTTCAAATTAAATTAATTTAAAAAAAAATTCTGAATGTATATTGACCTATTAAGACATTTAGAATTTTAATGAAACTTAATTGAATAGAAATTTGACTTCATGCAGCTATCTTAATTTATTTGAATCCCTTGGCCTGTTTTTTTATTTCATGCTTTTCTGGCCCCCTCCTGGCCCCCCTGGTACATTTGGTCTAGAACCGCCACTGTTGATTGATTAATATTTACCTTAATGGAAGAGGCGCATTCCTGGATTTCACACTTGATTTTTGTTTAAATATTAATAAATATGTAAATATGGATAAAAACCACTGTCCCCGTTTCTTATTTTAATTTTGATAAAATGTATTTATTTTTATCTATGAGCTGCAAATGTGTCCAGATTAGATTGCAGAAATCTGGTCACATTAATTAAACACCAGAACTAAATTTCACTAAAATTAAGTTTTTTTTTAAATGGAGTTTGGTAGGAGGGTATTTTTATTTTCGTTATATTTCCCCCAAATCTTAAAATATTAAGATCTTTTTCAAACAATAAAAGAATATGACAAGAAATATGACAAGAAAATTAAAATAACTTCTTTTTAAAAAAGAAGTTATTTTAATTGGAGCAGTTTCAAAAGGAAAGAAGGAAATGTGACTTTTGAACAGAGTTTAGTTTCCTTTTGATGTTTAATATAATTTCTGTTATTGCGGAATTATCCGGATCTAACCGGCCTTTCAGGTAAATCACCCTGTAACGCCAACAGGAGCTGATTAACACGCCAAAAAAGGAATATCCCTAAAATAGCTGATTTTTGAAATGAGTCTGGCGGGTGGTATCATGAATCAGGGTTTTTTAGTGACTCTATAACAAACATGGCTACCTCGATCTCCTTGATATTGTTGGACGTGACGTAGAGGCCGATGCCGATGGGGATGAAGATGAGGCCGATGATGAAGAAGGCAGGCAGGACGGTCCCCGCGGTCAGGATGGGCTGCCAGGCCGGGAGTCTCTGCTGCTTGAACGCGGTGTTTTCAGGCTTCTTGTTCCGCAGGGAGCCGCCCCCTGCCGCGGCCGCAGCTCCGGATCCAGACACGCTGATGTGTCCGTCCTCGTCTTTGTAGCTAGAGGCCAACATTGTGAGAGTTCCAGGTCGCCACTGGAGGGATTAATGAACACAATCTCTGACCGTTAAGTTCCCATAAACAGATTTTTAAATCATTCACAGCACCCAAACGGCCTTCCTCCCCCTGCAGCGTCACTTCTTCTTCTTCTTTTCTAACATGGCGGATCGTAGGCTACTTTAAGCAGCATACCGCCACCTACTGTACATTTTGTGTGGCAACATTACTTTACATCAAATTATATTTTTTATTTTTATTTTGTATTCTGTAGGTAAATAAATAACGCTTTCCTTAATCAATGAAAATCCTTTATATTTAATTAATTTCCTAATATTAATTATTTGTCTGTCCTTCCAACCATTCTTCTCAATTCTCCCTTTCATGTTCATAAGTTTTACAGTTTATGATTACCTGTTCTACATTTTCTTTTCCTCCACATCCTTCACATTTATCATTATTTTTCCTCCCTATTAAATATAAATTGTCATTTAAATAGGAATGACCCACTCTTAATCTGCTCATTATTACTTCTTCCCTTCTGTTTCTCTCATTAATGATTCTATTTAACACTGATTTTTGTACCTTTTATAATTCCGTAAAAGTAAAAAAAAAAAAAAAAAAAAAAAATCCACTGGACTTGGTTTCCAGTAGATTGTTTTTTAAACTTTTTATGGACTGATTTTGACCTGGATGACTGAGAATCTTCATCAGCAGACCTCATATAATCCTCTTCCTTTCTTATCTTCATTCCACCTCTTTTGCTATTTTTCCTTTTCTTTACTCGTAATAAGTGATTTTTCTTTCCCAAAAGGAATTATAATGGTTATTGTTCCCTCTAAAGCTCTTTTTTCTAATATATTTGCTTTTTCATTGCCTTTTACACCTTCATGTGCTGGAACCCAACATAACCAACTATAAATGCCACTCCTATATAATCTAAATAGACTGTGCTGGATTTCTAATGCTAAATCTTTTCTATCATTTCTTTTTACCTGAATATTTTCTATGGAATCTGTACAGACCACCACCCTGTCTGGTCTACAGACTGTCAGCTTAGTATAATTGCCACCATTTCTGCTGTGAAAACAGATAGTTGATCTGATTTTCTTTTTAGAAAATTTATATTTTAAACTCTCGTATATATTCCTATTCCCACACGTCCTTTTACATTCTAAGAACCATCTTAATATATTTTAAGGTAGTTATAATATGAGTTTCTTAAATATATATGGAGGAATAACACAAATCGGATCAAACTGAGCTATTTTTGTATCTTCTAATCCAGATTATTGAATCAATTTGCTTATAATCCATCCAAATCCAAATTACCACGGAACTTTGACTATTCCTAACAGTTTTGCAGAACAGTGTCAGTGCTGCCCCCTGCAGTCCACATCGTGCTACTGTAGTTGCTGTTTTCTCTCTATAGCACCATCTCCTGGCTGTGTTTGGTAATACGTTTCGTCTATTTTAAATATAAAAGTAAAATTAAAAGTTAAATACACTTAATCGGAAGAAGTGAAATAAATCAGATTTAAATAACAGTAACAGAAAAAAATAAATACATGTTTACATTAGATTTAAGTAAAATAAAGATACACAGGAAATATGAATCACACGAGGCACAAAAAGTAAAACTAAACAAAACATGAAATAAAACATGAAAGTATTTGAAAAAGTAAATACAATTAAAATGGCTTTTGCATGACAATGAGTTTAGAAAAGTGGTTGTAGAAAATGGATTTTTGGAAAAAAGATTTGCACTAACTGAAAAAGCAATGAAAGCCTAAATATTTTTATTTGATTGAAGAAAAATGTCCTGAAATAAAATAAAACTATTAGATTAAATACAATTCTCCCCCCTATGATAAGTATTCCTTCCTAAAATAAATATTAAGTATTAAAGTAAATAATATGTATTAAAACAGAATAGATTTTTTTTTTTGCAGCCTCAAACCAAAACAAAGATTCACCTTTATTATGTTTGTTCTATCATTTCATGTTTATTTCATGAAAAAAATATTTGCTTGAATCAATTATAGGTCCCATCCCTTGCAAAAAATATGTTTAACAGCCAAAAAGTTAAGCAGAGACATTAACATAAAGTATGCTGGAGTATCCCATTTGATAGAAAAAAGAAATGAAAGAAAACAGAATGGCATTGTCTTATTTCAAATGCATATTACCTAGTTATCTTATTTTAAAAGTAAAACTCATTACCGTGGGAAACTTTCTCATTTATCTGCTCAAATTAAGGGTAAATGCACTTAATTTAGGACATATTTACTTATTTCTAGATCATTTTCCAGTGTAAACTTTACTGAAAACATATAGTTTGAAAAGTCTGATGACTTAAACTTTAGAGAAGTTAACATTTTGAAAACATTCTTCAGGAATCTGGGATTAATGAGGTCAGAACTCATTAACTGAAGCCAAACTTTAAATAAATAGGTTTTATTTAAGTTCTGGTCATAATTGATTTCACAGTGCATCATTAAGTGCAAACCTCCACGATGGCAGTGAAATCATCATGTGGTATCCGACATGAACGATGAGCAGACAGAAATCAGCAGAACCGAACAGAACCAGGCTCCTGCTGGGAATTCGATATGATCTGCGACCATTTTAAGGAGCAAACCAAAGCAGCCAAAGTCCAAAGAGTGAGAAGACACGGTTCCTCTGAGGCTTCCCACTGTGGGACGTCTTCAGGTCTTTCCTCCTGCTGCAGAGGCGGAGCTGCACAACGCAGACTTCCTCAGCTCGATCTTCATGGCCTGGCCTTCAGCCCTCGACTCTAGCCTCGTCACTGCAGACACACCCAGAACCGTCTTCCCATTGGGTTTCACCACTTTGGACACGGGGATCCGGGTGGCCGCGCCCCGAGCTGGTTGCACATCTGAGCTGATCTAAAAAAAAAAAAAAAAAAACATGATGACCATGTGACCCAGAACAGGATCTGGAGGAAACCTTGATGACACTTTCTGTTGAGATGTTTTGTTGAGTTACTGGAATATCTAATAAGCAGGATTCTGGTCTGAGGAAGAGCCCCACCATGACCCCTGAAGTCAATTCAATTGAACTCAGTTTATTTCTATAGCTCCAATTCACATCATGTCATTTCAAGGCACTTTCCAGTTCAACCAGATCATCCAGTCAGATTGATTCAAAGTTTTCTATCAAAGGAAAACCAGCTGATTGCATCGACTCATTGACTCTTCAGCAATCCCTCACACTAAGCATGCTTGTAGCGACAGTGGAGAGGAAAAACTCCCTTTGAACAGGAAGAAACCTCCAGCAGAACCAGGCTCAGTGTGAGCGGCCATCTGCTGAGGCCCACTGGGGTTCAAGGAGACAGAAGCAGACATAGAAAAAGAAGCATAGATACAAAAGACAACTGTCAACCAGCTCCACAGGCGGCCCCGTCCAGGAAACACACAGCCAGGCAGACGAGCTCCGAGCCAGCTCCAATGTCAGAGGATGAAGAGAGCACATCCAGTTAGTCACAGTCAGAGAAACAGGACTACACTGGAAAACAGGCCAAGCTCCAACATCTAGAAACAAAGGTGTTGATGGCAGCAGCACAGCTGATATTTCTCTCCAGGATGGAGTCACAGCCAAACAGGAACAGACCAGATGAAGCTACTATGAGGAAAAGCAGAGAGAGCAGAACGTGGACTGCTGTTAAACCAGACTGTCAGTGTTTGGGTGGTGCCCCCTCCCTCCACAGCAGCCCGCGTTCCGTTTTGTTCTATTTTGTTTTCATTTCTGTCATTGTCATATCTATGGTTCTGTTTAGTTTGGTTTTGGACTTATGGACTTTTTCTTATCAGCCTGACACTATTTTGCCGCCAGCAATCATCCCAACAGCTCAGTTTGCCTCCAGTCCACTCTAGATTATCTTCACCTGTTCCCACTAATTAGTACTTATTAGTACCTATACCTGCCTCTGCCTACTCATCTCTGTAAGAACGTCTCATTCTCTCCTGCTAAGGTCGCCTGTGTCTGTATGCTGCACTGCTCCCTGTTTCCCTCACTACTGTACCCTGTGTGCCCTGCCAGCTGAACTCTTCTAGTTGAGGTTGCCTTTGTCTCCATGTTTCAGTGCTTCCTGTTCCTTGGTGAGTCTGAGCTGCTTACTGGCCAGTTCTGGTGGTTCTCCGGTCCACACAGCCTATTGGTTCTGTCAACATCTACATCTCCTGGTTCTCTGCTAACCCCTGCAAACCAGCAATTCAACTGGAATTACTCTGCCAAGACAGTAACTGTTTACCTGCTTCATCTGCCATTATTCACCCCTTTAATAAACCTTTCAAACGTAACTCTGTGTCTGGCTGAATATCGGGTTCACCTACGGGAAAACTTGACAGTCATTGAAACTGTCTGACTTGCCTGAATATTGGGTCCATCTGTCCGGTTTTGTGGCATCTTCATATGTTTTGGAGTTTAAAACACAGAGCTTCAGCCATCCGCTATATCTCAGTATCTTTGACGTTCTCCTTTACTAGTTTAGTTCTGAGGGCTGGACCCAGTTTAAACAGCTTCATCCATGTGTATGTCCATCACGTGACGTCTGTGAGAATGTCAAAAATTGGTTGAAAAGACATTGAAAGGACGAAATGATTTGCGTCCACACGACGTACACGTTTGGTTGAAAAGTGAAAAGCTGTAATTTTCAGATAATTGAAAAGACGTTAAAAACTGGGTTTGCGACGTCTTTTCAACATCTATTATTTTACTAAATTAGGACAAATACTGACTAAATTTCAACAACTACTGTCTGGACTAAATCAAGACTATAACGGGCCGACCAGGGTTAACCTAAAAACCCATGTCTAAATAACGTCTGGTGTTTAGGGGAGTTAGCAGATGCTGCCCACTGAGGCTGACCCCCAAACACCTGACTTCATTTAGACCAGGGGTGCTCAAGTCCAGTCCCTAAGAGCTAACAACCTGTAACTTTTAGATGCATCACTTCTCTAACACAACTGAATCGAAAGGCTCAAACCCCTAATTTAGTCCAGCAGAGGCATGGTGAGGTAACCTGACTCCGCCAGATGGATTTGCTCCGCATATCCATCTGGAAACCTTCCGTAGAAGTAATTTTGGGAAGGGGCGAAAATACTGGTTAGCTGATTGGCCTATGTTGGTGATAGACGGGCCAAATAAACCAATCAGATCAACGAAGCATATGACGTACTAACAGAGCGACGACGAAGAGGAGCCAATTGATAGATCAAACTCTTGCCGAAACCAGTCGGGAGAAGAGCAAAAACATCTTTTCCTCTGAGAAAAGCCTCCAGAGCAGTGTTTTGCTCTTCTTTCAGTGAAGAAATACTCTGTAATTCCAATAAATTTGCTCGATAGCCACGCTAACGCTAGTTTCATCGGCTGAAGCCGCCATGTTCTTTAGACTGAACTGTCACGCTTCTCGTTGCGTCACACCTCAACCCGCCTCAAAGCCAACGCTGATTGGACGTTCGTTTGGTGAACGGCTCCTAATTTTCTTTAACGGAGAGTCTCCAGACTGATCTGCGAGTGAAACCTTGAAAGCTCGTGAGATCAGGATGGTCTCACGAGGCTAATGGTGAGGAGCCACTCATTTGATTCAGGTGTGTTAAAAATGGGGTGCATCAAAAAGTTGCAGGATAGTAGCTCTTGAGGACTGAACTTGAGCACCCCTGATTTGGACGTTGGTTTTTAGGCTAAATCTAGTCGGTATGTCATAGTCTTGATTTAGTCCAAAAATCATTGTTGTAAATTGGGCCGTTTGGTGGGTCTGATTTTGTCCTACTTGCAAACCCAGTTTTTTATGTTTTCCAACTATCTGAAAATTATTGCTTTTCACCTTTCACTTTTCAACCAAATGTAGACATCTTTTCAACGTAAATCATGTCGTCTTTACATCTTTTCAACCATTTGCACAGTGGGGAGGCTTTAACACCATGTGATACCTGAAGACTATCTTGTCTGTGAAGCTAGCTGAGGGAAATCTAAAAATTTCAGAATCAGCTGGAAGGTAAAAAGATGAGAGCTGATTGAAAGGAGTTCCGGTGTCGGGTTCATAAAATGTAGGTTTTTTTCTTAAGAAGAACAGAAATGCACGATTTATTGATACAATTCCTGCAGGAAGGAGAGACAGTTGAACCCCAGACTCAAACGCACTGGACCTCCTCTGCAGAGTGTTTATTAAACGAACATGACGCATGGTTACAAACAGAGTATTGTTCTGACAGAACAATTGATCAGTTCATGAAGACAGAATGTTCCATCAGAATGACAAGGCAGGATGTTCTCCTGACTGAATCATGAGACAGGAGTGGAGCATCCCCTTGCAAAAATGTTTCATAAGCACACATTAATTTTATAATCATCATTGAATAAACCTAACATCCGGAAAAGGAGAGACTCTCACCACGGACTGCGTTGGCCTGCACACCGCTGAGGTGATGGGGTTGATGGTGATGCTGCTTGTCATCTTGCTCTGAGAGGTCTTCACCGTTGAGGCTTGGCGGGGACTGCGGAGTACTGTCCCCGTCGATGTTTCCTGGCATTCAGGGCCACTTCCTGTTGGCCGGAGAGCTAAAGCGGGGCTGCTGCAGTCCCCTGAGTTCCTCTGAAACTGTGACCCCAGGTGGATGTGAATCTTATTGTCCTCTGTAGTGATGATGTTGCTGTTGTAATGCCTTGCCAGCTCTGGGGGCCTCCCAGACGTCATCTTGATCAACGTTGGCTTGGTGATGTTCTCGTGAGGGTCAGATGAAGCACAGACCTCGGCTACAGGGGTGGTGCTGACCGCGATGATGGAAACAGGCGACTGCAGGATCCCAGGGCTGCTCCTGCTGCAGGGCTTCTCTGGACTTTTGGTCCTGGAGATGGTGGTTATAGTGACCGGAGACTTGGTTCGATCAGGATCTCTAGTAACATCCCATCCTTTCGTCTTGCTGGTCACGATTGTGGGTTTGGGGACGATAGTGATGCGAGGCTTCTGAGGACCAAGAGTTGGGATGATGGTGGTGCTGGAGAAGAAGTCCTCAGATCTTGGGCTGGTGATTTCTAAGGTGGCTGTGCTGGTCTCGTGGTCTGGTGTCACGCGGATGTGTAGAGGTTGTCCCAGATTCGGGGGGGTTTGTGGTGGATGCGTCGAGAAATAATCATTGCTCTTCCCAGGAATGGTCTGAGTCAGCGTGATGGCCTCCTTATTGTTCATCCAGGGCATTCTCCCTCCATGCTCTGCTGATGCATGAGGATATCGGTCAAGAACTGCTGGCCTTCTTTGCTTATGTTCTCTGAGGTTGTTCATCAGGTGGTTCTCCTCTAGAACAGATTTTTTGATGAAACCGGCAGTAGTCTCTTCCTCAGCCGACCCATTGGTCAGCACTTCTGTCTGGACTGCTGTGGAGGTCACGGGGACATCCACTATTCTCCTCCCATTCAAACTGGGCCTCAAGGCTCGGCTGTAGCGTTTTGTGGCTTCCAGCTCCTTAGTAAGATTCTCCAAATCTAGACTCATGTTTCTCTTCCTCTCCACTTCCTCTGCAAACCTCTGCTGGAGGACAGAGAAGTCCACCTGCAGCTGGGAGAGCTGGTCCTCCTTGTTCATGAGTTCATGGATTTTCTCCTTGAGGGCTACAACTTCAGCCCTCAGCTCTCTGCTTTTTGCCTCCTCCACCTTGCATCGGATTCTGAGCTGGGCCTCCAGACTCTTGGTCTCACCTCTCTCCACAGCTTTGTTTCTGGCGATCTGACTCTTCATCTCCTCCACCAGCTTAGCGAGTGTGTTTGCTTTGTCCTGCTCATTCCTGAACTTCTTCTGCAGCAGATCATACTCATCCTCAGATTTCATCAGATCCCCTTCCACCACCTCCAGCTGCTTCAGCCTGCCTTTAAGTCGATCGATTTCTCCTGTGAGCTCTCTAATTTTGTTGTCTTCTTCTGAATTTCTGTTTCGCTCCCTGGTGGCCAACTTTCTCTCCAACTCCTCGAGTTCATCCACTCTCATCTTCATCCCTGTCAGCCGTTCATTCAGCTCGTCACACATTTCCTGTCTGCTCCTTAGCTTGGATTGTAGCTCCACTTTCTCCTGCATTAGACCCTCCACTAGGATTTCCGTCTCAGACTTGAATTTGAGAAGTTTTTTGCTCTCCTCTATGAGTTTCTCTGTAACTTCTGTAACTTTACTCTGCTCTGCTTTCAACATCCCACTCCAATCGTAATTTTTCTGCTCCTCCTGCTTCAGCCTTTCGGCCACAGCTTTTCTTTCCTCCGCCAGTATGACGGTGAAGGATTTCAGTTTCATCAGTTCTTCTTTCAGCACCATTTCTGCCTTCTCCAGCTTTGACTCTGAGCTCTCCAACTCCTTCAGCTGAGTCCTTAGTCTCTCCATTTCGCTGCCCAAATCCTTCACCACTTTCCTCTCTTTCTCCAGGTTCATGTGAAGCTGGGAGCACTCCGTTTTGCTCTTGCCGAATGCTCCCTCCAGTTTCTCCAGCTCTACCATTTTCTTCTGTAGCCTGTCCACCTCCAGCCTCAGCTCCTCTCTGTGCTTCTCCTCGTCTTGCAGCCTTTTCCTCAGCTCCCTGCACTGAGTCTCTGTTTTGGTCAACTCCTCATCTTTTTCCTCCATCTCCAGGACTTTCTTGCGCAGATTCTCCAGCTCAGCTGTGAGAGAGGAGTTTCCACGCTCTCCTCTGCTTATCTTATCCCTGAGCTCTTGCAGGTCCTCCTCAGATTTCTGGAGCACTTTGTTGCTCTGCTCCAGCTCCTCCACATTCTGTGTCAGCCCTTCCAGCTTCAGCCTAAGCTGTTGGTTTTGGGACACTTGGCTGGCCAGCTTGGTGTTCATGTCTTTGTGCTCCTGACTAAACTTTGCTCTTTGGACTTGCAGCTCAGTCTCCAACTTCAGCACCTTCTGTCCGTCCTCCTTGGCAGAATCACTGGAAGCTGCCAGTTGCTTCTCTTTTTCTAACAGCTTCTGACTGATGTCCTGGATCTTCTGGTTCTGCTGCTCAATCTGCTCAACGTGAAGCTGCCGTTCATCCACCAACATTAGCGTGAAGGACTTGAGCTTTACCAGCTCATCTTGGACCTTCTCCAGCCTCCTGCTGTGCTCTTTGTCTTTCCGAGCCTGGTAGACCTTTTCCTGCTCCAACAGCCTTTTCAGTCTGAGGAAAGAGAAGTAAAGCACATATTAGAGAGTGTTGAGCTCAAGATGGTTGCTTTAGAACAAACAGAATTTCTGTGATGCTTTTTTTTGTGTCCATTTCCCCTCTGTTTTTGTGTTGTTTGGGTAACGATGTCCGACCCGACAGTAGGACAGGTGAGGAGAGAAGCAGGTTGTAACATGCAAACCTCCCCAGACTGCAGCAACAATCATGTGAATGACAAGCTCAAGGTTGGTATAACCGATTCAAAACCAGTAAAATGAGTGTATAATACAAGCTTAACACAAGCACACCTGTTAATTAGTCCAGTTCCAACAGTTGGAGCTTAAAGTCGTAGGGAAACGGCTGTTCCAACCGTTGCATTTCCGAATTGTCCCGAGTGTTGCACGACTTTACAAGTGAATAAAAGCTATGTGATTGGTAGTTTCTCAAGAGGGCGGGGTTGTTGTGGCAGAAGGTTTGCAAGAAAGTTGGATTGTGGCCGGTTTCTCTGAAGCTAACCAGTTAGCAACTTAGTGCTAGCAGGTTCCCAATGGGAATTTCCATTGGGACCAAGTAGCACTAAATTGGTGACTTAGAAACGACGCTGTCAAGGAACGCTATGGACAGCGGAAACATGCAAGAGGAGGAGAGTTTAGTGTCGGAGGTCGTGGATGAGTCTCCTCCGTCATCAATTTTTTATTTAGAGGAGGAAAGCGGGGACGAAGATGTTGTGGAAGAGGACGCCAGGGCGGCAGAAGCTTGGTTTGGTGTAGAAGGCTTCCAGCCGTACATGTTTGAGCCCTTGCCTCGCAACGCTGCCAGTTCTGTTAGCTCTACGCCTGCTGAAGACACAGACGTCCATCCCCGTGAACACTGGGACACAACTCAATGGGAAAGGAAAGGATTCTGATTTCAACCGTTGCGTATATTAGCTGCGACACATGAATCAAGATGCTATGGCCGAAAAAATGTGATTGACAGATGACCGTTGATATATGATTGGCCGAATTTAGGTGTGTTAGGTGTTAAAAATAGAAATGTTCTAATTTCTGGGACAATATCGTCTGATAAAGAGTACATTTATACACATGTTTAAGCCAGAATGATTTGACATTTAAATATGACTTCCCTACGACTAACCAGATAAAACCGAGGAGCCGAAGACAAAGAGCTGAAAACTTTAACAATTCTCACACGGGCTCTATCAAAAACAATCAATGGATTTCAAGAACTCTTGTGAAAATTGAAACTGGAGAGGTTTTTGTGCTGGACCTTTAGATGACTGTATGTTTTTCTTCCCAAATTGAAAAGTTTTCTCCTCCATACGATTCTTGGATCTGTTTGCTGTCAGAATCCAAAATCTGTGAGGAACGGTGCCGTTAATTCGGACCCCTCACCTTTCTCTCTCCTGCTCTAGCAGATTGGTAAAGTCATCGCTCTTGTTTATGAAGTCGACATGTTTCTGTTTCTCATTGTCCAGCTCCATGACGGTCCTGCGGTGGCATTTCTCTGCTAGCAGCAGCTGCTCCAGCATCCGTCTGTACGTCTCCTTCTGCTTCTCCTCCAAGCGATCCAGCTGAAAGGAGGGCAAATCATCAACAGTAATTATCAACAGTTCACGCTCACATAGCACTACCAGCTGTGGTCACGTCCATATTGACTTAGTCTCCATCCAGTCCAGTTATTCATGTCAAAAGAACATGCATTTAGCTTTTTTTCATGTTAACTTGCTGCTATTAAGCAAACTAATGTGATCCTTTAATAGTTTGATTATGATCTTGCATCTGAGCATTTACTGAAGTGGCCTCCATCAAACATAGCCTCCAGAACAGGAAAGAAATAAGTGCCAAATATGGACCTAATTAGTCCTTTTCTATAGTTGTTTTTTCAGTCCTAATAAGCCTCACAAGAAGATCAGTTGAATAAGAATAAGGGTGAGGCATGAGGACCAACATGCAGGGACAGCATGTTGGTCAAAAAATCACCCAGCAAACTCAGAGCAATATATATCAGACACAAAAGGTGCTTAAAGGAATAGTACACCCAAAACATGATTAGCCTTCATTTTCTACTCACCCCCATGCTGAACAACACTCTGGAGTACTTTTTTGATATCTCAAATGCATCTGGAGATCTGGGAGGCTTCTTGCTGTCTGCTGACATTCAAATAATGGAGGTCTATGGTGACCGAGACAGAAAGGTCCATAAAAGTCCACAAAAAACGTGTCAATATTCCTCCATACTGCTCGTCCAATGTATTCCAAGTGTCCTGAGTGGGTAGCATCCAGAATTTACTCGAAACGAAGTCATTTAGAATGTTTTTAGAGCATAAACAGTAGTGTATAGGATTTCCTGAAAGCGCGCACACGCGCGCTCATGACGCTACGGAAGCCGGCAGATCAAACCAGATGAAAGTGCGCATTCAGCGTCTGCTCTTCCAATAATGCAAGCGTAGAAGAAGAAATGTGCCGTTTACCTGTGCAAAGAAAGAAACAACGAAAGAAAAATATCTGAGGACTTCAGTGTTGAGGAAGAGCATGATTTCTTTGCCGAGCTGAATGCGCTGGTTTGGTCTGCCGGCTTCCGTAGCGTCGTGAGCGCGCGTGTGCGCGCTTTCAGGAAATCCTATACACTACTGTTTATGCTCTAAAAACATTCTAAATGACTTCGTTTCGAGTAAATTCTGGATGCTACCCACTCAGGACACTTGGAATACATTGGACGAGCAGTATGGAGGAATATTGACACGTTTTTTGTGGACTTTTATGGACCTTTCTGTCTCGGTCACCATAGACCTCCATTATTTGAATGTCAGCAGACAGCAAGAAGCCTCCCAGATCTCCAGATGCATTTGAGATATCAAAAAAGTACTCCAGAGTGTTGTTCAGCATGGGGGTGAGTAGAAAATGAAGGCTAATCATGTTTTGGGTGTACTATTCCTTTAAGAGACCCTCAGAATCCCCACAATGTCTTGGTCTTGTTTTGGTCTTGGCCTTTCAATGTCTTGGCCTTTTTTTTTTGTCTTGGCCTCTTAATATCTTGGTCTTAGTCTTGGTCTTCGCCTCTAAATGTCTTTGTCTTGTTTTGGTCTTGGCCTTTCATTGTCTTAGTCTTAGTTTTAGTCTTGGTCTCCAAATGTCTTGGCCTTAGTCTTGGTCTTGGCCTCTAAATGTCTTTGTCTTGGTTTTGTCTTGGCCTCTCAATGTCTTGGTCTTAGTCTTGGTCTTGGCCTCTTAATATCTTGGTCTTGTTTTGGCCTTGGTCTCTCAATGTCTTAGTCATGTTTTGGTCTTGGCCTCTAAATGTCTTGGTCTTGTTTAGGTCTGGCCTCTAAATCTCCTGAAGTTGGTCTTGGTCTCTAAATGTCTTGGTCTTAGTCTTGGTCTTGGCCTCTAAATGTCTTTGTCTTGGCCTCTCAATGTCTTGGTCTTGTTTTGGTCTTGGCCTCTCAATGCTTTGGTCCTGGCCTCTTAATATTTTGGTCTTCGTCTTGGTCTTGGTCTCTCAATGTCTTGGTCTTGTTTAGGTCTTGTTCTCTAAATCTCTTGAATTTGGTCTTGGTCTGGGTCTCTAAATGTATTGGTCTTAGTCTTGGTCTCTGCCTCTAAAAGTCTTGGTCTTAGTCTTGGTCTCAGCCTCTTAAAGTCTTAGTCTTGTCTTGGTCTTGGCCCCTAAAGTTCTTGGCCTTTTCCCTGTAGTCCTTGGTCTCAGTTGTTGTGGTCTTGACTACAACACTAAAAACTACCAGCTACCAGTACATAAACATTTGGAAAAAGATGAGAAGTGGACTGTTTGACTGTCTGACCTCAGCCATTGGCTTCTCGTACACATCCTCTGTGCTTTGATTGCCGTGGAGAAGTGTAGCGTCCCTCTGCAGCGCCTGCAGAGGTTTGGAGGGAGAGGCGGAGCCATAATGGGCCTCTAGGGTCTCTGGTCTGGTTCTGTCTGATTTCAGAAGCCTGATGATGTCCTCTCTGGCCTGAGAAGACATGGAAGGAACCTTTGTTTGGTTAGAAAATTAGAGGATGTAGTGGGTCTTTACAAAAAAAAAAAAAACTTGAAACATGGATTCAGCCACACAGCCAACTTGCTTGCTTGTCAAACAACACACCAACCAATAAGTTAACCAAAAACTAACCACACAACGTGTAAACCAACCAGCTGGCCATACTGCAGGTCCTACCAACCAGTGAACCAGTCAATTGACAAAAAAACCTTTAAAACAAGAAATTGATGGGCGTGCAGGTAGCACAGTGGGTAATGCACATGGCCAATGTATGGAGGCCTATCCTCAACGTGGCCGACGTGCCGGACTTAGAGTATTCATAACGAGTCCAGAACTTATGTCCAACAACAGCCTAACTTATGCATAACGCATGGCTGCATAATGCAGCATCAGTTAAAGCTACTCCTGTTAGGACTCCTGTCTGTGGGGGTTTGTGTTTTTTGTGTGTTTGTCTTCCTTCCTCCACCAGGCGGCACCTGGTCATGGTTCACCTCCTCACACACCTGCAAAGGGTAACCTCATTAACGTAGTAGTTTTAAGCTGCGACTGCCACTACCTCGGCGCCAGAGTGTTTGCCAGTTTTGGGTACAGTAGCCAAGCTGAGTTTTGCTGAGTCAAACTGAGTTTTTGTCAACCTGAGTCTTAACCTTGTTATTTTGTCTTTGGCTCTCGGCAGGAAGTCATCCTGCAAACTGGATTTTTCTGACCTTCTCTCCCTGGAAGGATAATCTGAGCCTCAAACTGAGCTGAGGATTCAAACTGGAGGTTTGGATCTACTTCCCTCCAAGAGATCGTTTGAGCTTCACACTGAGCAAGGGATTCATCTCCACAACGACCCGTTCAAGTACCGCAGGGAATCTAAGTTGCAGTCAGTTTCTCCGTTCACCTAAAGACAACCGCATTCTAGGTAAACCCTGTCCGCCCTCCATCGAAAGAGACAAACACTGGAACACCCCCACACCGACTGGAGTCAAAGAGTCAACCGCTTTTCTGGAAATGTGAGTCAGCAATCTATTTCTCCTCTTCAAGTTCAAGTGTCAAATTTCCCACTGAGCCTGAACTAACCGCAGTGTCTTCCCCTCACTTTCCAGTTCCGGTTGAGCAGTGTTCAGAGCAACACTGGATTCTTCACAATCTCCTCGAAAAACGTGTTAAACTTTTTCCCTAGTCTCTCTGTTTTGGTTTACTGCTTTCGTGTCTGATCATAGTTAAATCATGACAACTCCCCTCAGGTGCAGCTTTAACGTAATTAATAAAAAGAAAAAAAAAACAGAAAGAAAGAAGGTTTGCAGTCGCAGCAGATTCAGTGTCATGTCTGCTAGGAAGTTTGTTGGTTGTGGGTGTGGCCGTGGGCGTGAGTGCAGGTAGGATCCATCACACTCATCCTATAATGGGGAAGCAGTCTGGAGGAGAAGTTAATCATAGGTTTTGGATAAACTAGACACCATGACTTATCAGTAACTTAACATATGACAACTATCAGATAACTTACCTGTAACTTATGCCACATGTTTGGCGTACGCTGGCACACGTCGTCATACTCGCTGAATGTCAACGTGCTCCTATATCCAACGTATGCCAGGTTTTTTGTCAGATTTTCTGTAGGTCAGGCATACGCTGGTCTAAATCGTCAAGGTGTGACAGGGGGTTTAGACCAAAGTAGAACTAAATCAGATCCTTGAAGGAGAGAAGAGCCTCCCTGTTCTGTGTTTTTGTCTCCATTGTCCCAAACAGAGCAGCTGGTGGGCTGTTTTCACAAGCAGAACACCTTGAGCTTGTCATGGTTCGGGTTTCTCATGACTCCTTTGATTTATTTCTTCAGTCCTAATAAGCCTCACAAGAAGATCGGTTGAATGAGAATAAGGGTGAGGCATGAGGACCAACATGCAGGGACAGCATGTTGGTCCAAAAATCACCCAGCAAACTCAAGGCAATATATATATGACACAAAAGGTGCTTAAGAGACCCTCAGAAGCCCCACAATGTCTTGGTCTTGTTTTGGTCTCGGCCTCCAAATGTCATGTGTTGGTCTTAGTCTTGATCTTGGCCTCTTAATATCTTGGTCTTAGTCTTGGCCTCTCAATGTCTTGGTCGTCAAGACGAATCGTCATAGTAGCTTTCTCTTAATGTCATTGTGATCTTAAACTATTACTTTCTGTATCCTAAGGTGTTTTTTCTGTTTGGAGCTTTTCCTTTTTATATTTTTACTTTAAATACTTAGTGTTTTGGTGTTGCCTTAAGCTTGGTTTTAGTTTTGCCATATGTGTTATTTTTGCCATTGGGAGTTTGCCATATTAGCTGATTTATTTACCTTTTGTTAGTCTTTTTCTAGTCTACTTCTCTTTGCCTACTTCTCTTTTTCTAGTCTGCTTCGTTTTTAGTTGTTTTTATCTTTACTTTATCCAGTTATTTTCTCTGGATTAGGGGATTAATTCTGTGTTCTTTCCTTTCTGTGTTTATCTCTGCTTCACTATTTCTTCCTTTAGAGCCTTCTGTTAATTAATCAGGTCTCAGTACCCATGTTTCCTCATTTGTTCTTCTGTTTGCACCTGTTTCCTCCTCCACTTAACGTCTCAGTCATTTGCCAGCATTTGTTGGGTCCTCAGTTCATTTCCATGTTTCCTGAGCATCTGTTTGCAGTTTGGTCCAGAACAACGGATATGGCAGATCTTCCTGTTGATGATGTTCCAGTTTAAGCCCAAAACAAAATGCACAAATAGCTTCCAGTGTGGTTGAAATGTTAAAATTTCTCAATAACTTTAACAATAAAAGATTGAGACGCAGCAGCTGCAAGAACTTAAAGATGTTGATTGAAACGAACCAAAGAGACAATAAAACAACAACAAATAACATTTTAGCCAAATCTCACTTCTAAACTCAGGATCCAAAGGACGTCAAAACAAAAGATGTAAGTTTTTCCCCCACACACAGGTTATGGCTGACTTTACCAATTTTCCATAGGTATCTAAATCGTTAGTTAAAGTAGTTGCTGCAGTCTGACAGGTTGACTCCCCTCTTATAGCCATTACACAGCGTCCCGCAGAAGAAAAACGTTCCTCCAAATTGATACAGCACAGCAGTATCCTTTGTGTGAAGCTCTTAAGCATAGGCAGGATAAGTTATGGGTACGTTTTGTGTAAGTTATGAGCAAGCTGAAGAGCGCTGAAGCACGCTGGCACACGTTGACATACTGAAAGTACGTCCCGACATATGCCAGCATATGATCATACATGGGCCATCAGTTCCAGGTCAGTTATCTGATGGCTGACATCCGTTCAGTGTCAGTTCCTCATCAGTCGTGGCGTCTAGCTTATCCAAACCTCTGAGTAACTCGTGCATAACTTCTGCTTAACTTATCAAGAACTTCTCTCCAACGAATATCAAGGTATCTGACGTGTTCCAGACGAGCGCTGAACGTGTTTCTAACTTCCAGGTGGCCAGTAAACAGCAGCTAGGTTAATGCAGCGATATAAGAAATCTTTTAATGCAGGCCGGGCACCTCAGGGCGCATCGCTGTTCCCCTCAGAACACTTGTGTTTTTCATGGGCGTTATGAATAAGTTAGGCTGTCGTTGGACATAAGTTCTGGACTCGTTATGAATGCTCTATGAATACGCCTAAAACTGGTGTTGCACCGATACCGATACCAGTATCGGATGGGGCCCTGATACTGCCCTAAAATGGTGGTATCCGTATCGGCGAGTATCAACAAATAGGGCACCGATACCATTTTGAGAGCCATAAGTTTCTTCAACTATTGTCACTCCTGGTAGGCAATAAAAAGTTCTACTGGATTCACTTTGTATTAGATTTTTTCCTGCTTCACAAAGGTAGGCAGCAGCTTGACAAAGCCATGATGGCAATTATTTTACATTATCATGGTATCGGTATCGGCCGATACTGCACAGCCAGGTATCGGGTATCGGTATCGGGGCCAAAAAATGGCATTGGAGCAACACTACCTAAAACTGAAAAAATACATTGAAAGTTCAGCATATTCCAGCGTTTTAGAAGATTCTAGGATGTCAGGTATTCCCTGGCTAAATCAGCAAGGTGTGACAGGGGCCTAAGAGCTTTGTGTTGTGTTCAGTTCTTCTGTCCTGGGAGTTTTCTCCTCTCCACTGTCACTAAAAGCATGCTTAGTGTGAGGGATTGCTGAAGAGTCAATGAGTCGATGCAATCAGCTGGTTTTCCTAAAATAGAAAACTTTGAATCAATTGACTGGATGATCTGGTGAACTGTTAGGTGCCTTGAGATGAATTGGCGCTATATATGTAAACTAAATTAAATTCAATTGTTTCCTTATGTCAGAGTCAGTCTTTAGCTAGATTTGTTGGTTCCTGTTCCTTGTTTGAAAGGTATTGTCTCGTTACATCATGGCCTCCGATACACCGATCCTGACCTCATCTCTCTGTCTGCACCAGAAGAGTAACAATGTAAGACTCTAATTGGGTCACAATCCTTTAATTGGCCCTTTCCGGCAGTTGTTTGGAAACTGTCAAGGATTATCTGGTGAAAATAGTAAGTTAGCATTTGATGCTAGTGGTTTTCACAGGGAAACCTTTAACTGACGGACATTCTGTCCATGTAATTGTCCCTGTCACTACCCGATCCGTCCAGAAAGTACGATCAGTCCTGCTCTTGCGAGAATAGATACACTAGGGTGTCCATAAATATGTAATTATGGTACTAAGATTACTTATTTCTATCCTTAAGTTACTAAAAATGCTAACCATCATCCTTAAAAAGTGTTTTATGACTTCTTATGACACAATTTTGATGCTTTTTATTTTTTCTCCATTAAAGAGCTTCTATGACATCGTCATGGGACATGCTCAGAGTAGTCTGGCAAAATCTGATTGAAGTTTGCTCCCACAAATAGCGTAGGATCCCATTTAAGGTGCAGACTGGGTACTGAGTGATAAAACAGGGTTTTAATGTGTTTATTTTCTCAGGAAATACATTATTAACCTTTAACACAATATATTTTAGTGTACTTACTATTTTTGGGGAGGGGAAAATGTAATTTAGGTCTTTTTACGAAATAAAATTGAGGGCGACCCGGGTGTATATGGTATGGGCAATGAGCTGATGGTAGGGATCGTGCTTCCAGGACGGATCGGGTAGCGACAGTTCCAGGTAGATTTGCCAACCGTTCCTTGGAAAACGGAAACATTCCATATTTAGAAATAGAAGTACCTGTCCCGTATTTAGTGGAAAAGGAACCCACTTTGTCCTGTTTTACTGTGAGAGTAGAGAAACTGTCAGTAAAAAGCTAATGGAAAATTAAGAACAAGGGCACGTTAGATACTAAACTTACAGTGTCCTGAGTTTTGACCAATGAGCTGACAACATATATGACATTGTCTAGAATCCCATCATCCCATTGGTGGAGCCAAGCGTTGCTTACAGTTTGAGGTTAAGAAGGAGTGGCTTATGTTTAAGATACTTAAGGGAATCGCTGGATAATAATTTGTTATCCATGTGTTCATGTCACTCACAAATATGCATCTATTTCAATACAGATTTGAGTCAAATAGTTAAAAAAATATTTTCACACACAAAGAAGGGCTAAAAAAAAATCACCAGGCCAGCAGGGGTAAAGCCAATGGGGTCAGCTAACACGCACATGAAGTGTCCCTTTTTTTCCAGGGAGTTGGTAACCCTAGTCCCTGGGTACGGGAAACGAGCAGATCCCGGAGAACAACAAGCATAGCATTCATCTAAGAGACCAAATATTGCTCTATAGTAATGAAGGTGTTTTGCCTGGGTTTAATAGATGTAAACGAACACTCTGAGATGTTTGTCTAATCACATGTCAGGCTGTAACTCCTTTCTGTTGGTTTGGATCCAACCCATGGCCTTTCTGTTTTAATCGATGATGATATCTCACCTGAACTTCTCCTTCCATGACCCCCAGCAGGTGAATCAGATCCTCTTTTGACAGCTCCGGTGTCTTAGCTTTGCAGCTCTCCGCAGGAGTTTTCTTTGCTGATTTAGTTGCTGCTGTTCTCCCCTCCTTCTCCTGTCTCTGAGCTTTTATCCTCCTCTTCATCATGTCTGGAGCTTCTTTCTCCTCCTCCAGCGGTTTCTGCTTAGGGAATCCTTTAGTGTGCTTCTGAATGCATCCATCATCTGAAGCTGCGGTGGAGCAGCTCCAAGATCTCATTTTTCACCTGTAAGGAAGAACAGAAAGAACCATGCCATGAGTATGAAGCAGAAAGACAGATAATGAAGATGTTTCTATTCTCTTCAGCTCAGTCGGGTTTGGTCGTTCCGTCCCCCGCTGGCTCACTCCCAGGATCCTCCAGAGTTCCCGGACCAGCCCCAGAGCTCACGGCTCGGTTCGGTGCCCACTGTTTTTCGACTACTTTCTGCACTGTAGTCAACCAATATTCCAGACGATTTTTAAATTCCCCCTGAATGTTTTTTTAGGTATGAAAATGTCCGGGAAAACGAAGACGTCTGGCACCCTATCCTGAACCCTGTCTGCTCTGTAAGCCTGCCTGTTACCGGACCTGGACTGTACCCTGACTCTCCCTTGGATTTCCCTCTGGACCTCGGATCACCTAGCTCTGACCCTGGACCTAATCTCTGACTAGGGATTCTGGAAATTCCACCTGGAACTCTTGCTAGTAATTGTCTTGCCAGTTATAATCCCCGTCTGTCCTCTGACCACCGAGCACCAGCTAGAACCCATCTGAGGGCTCCCCTGATCAGAACGGGGATCGTTAGAGTGCCTGACAGCTGGAGCCATCACTCACTGTTTCCACCATACCCCAGACTGTGAGAAGGTTAGTGACCGTAACCTCTATCTGTCCGCACCATAAAGTTTGTTTGGTCACTCACCTGCTGTCTCTGGATCCAGAGGTTCCTGCCAGAGAAAATGACGATAACCCTGTGAACTGGTGAAGTTTATCCTTTAATGAACTGTCTTTAAATATCATCTGTTTGTTTTGGCTGAGTTCTTGGTCCATATCCTCTGAGTGTAAAAGATTTAAGGTCTGATTTGAGATATTGTAGCCCAGAGAGTGATGGCAGGAAACCCCTGTAAGGTTCCAATCCTTTCAGGCCCCGTCCACACGAATTCAAAACGAACACGAAACGCTAATATTTTGCAGAACGTTTGTCGTAAAGACGGAGACGTAAAATAAATGTGATCGTCCACACGAATGCATGAAAACGCTGCAAAATGTATGCCAGGCCTGTAAGTGGCGCTGTGGTGCCAAAGCAAAAATAGGCGACGTAATGTTGAGCATGCGCACTAATATTTATACATGGTTGACCTGCGGGTCCATTTTTGTGGTTCAGTCAAATTCAGGTGCTGAACTATGTGGTCGATATTGCTCTGTTCTTCCTGGAGATATTCCAGAAGAAGAAGATTCTGTTGTAAGCCCGACAGCAGGATGAGTAGCATGAGCAGCAACCATTCAACACAGTACGGCGCCATTGTTGTTATGATACTGTGTCGCGCATGCGTGTTTAGAGGCGACGCTATGACGCATGCGTGTAAGAAAAAAAATGCGGTTAGAGCTTAAAGATGGAAACGCGAAAACGGCGTTTCAAAATCTTCCCACTCTGAAGGCTTAATAAAAAAAAGATCGTTTACAGACCCCCGAAACGCCGGCTTGGTATGGATGAGAGGCTGGTTTGGTGAAAAATTTGTGCGCTTAGACCAGGGTTTGGCTTCGTGTGGACGGGGCCTCAGTGGGAAAATAAGTAGCGCAGACAGAAACACGCAAAATGCTGCGTCAGTGAGTTCAGTTTAAGCCCAGCGACCATGACGATGGTAATCAAGCTATCAATCAAGCTAAAGTGTAAATTATTCACACCTCTGTCAGATTAAGATATGAGATTATTTTCATTACAACAAAAAGTGTTAGAAATGGGACGGATAGACCAAGTATTCAAGGTGAGACAGACAGTGGGAAAGTTAAAAAAGTTTATTGACACAAAACATAACGACCAGAGGCACAGAGTTGGGGATCTGCGGACCGCAGCAGCAGCAGGGGAGAGGCGGGGCACCACCCAATCACTGACACTCTGGAGGGAGAAACACAGGTAAGTGACCACGATCATCTGATGAAAGATGGTTTAACAGTTGTTTAACAGTTCAGTCCGTCCTCTCTGAGGTGGGGAGGATCCAGCCGATGGACTGCTAAACGAGATGCGGAGCAAAGTCGCCCAGAATTCTCTGAGGCAGCAACCTCTGTGTGCAGGCATGAACCCGATCCAGGTCAGGAAAAACATATCAAACAGGACAGTTCTGGAATCCAGGAGTCCCCAGCCCGGTCAGGGGTTCCGATCGAAACAGGAACAGACATATCCAGGGTTCCAGGAATCCACAGAGCGTGAAGGCGGGTTCAGAGTTCTATGAGTCCAGCAGCGAGCTCAAACGGAAACAAACAGATGCAGACAGGAAGGCAGGCTCAGCAGTTAAAGGGAAAGAGACAAGACATGGTACCAGGATAACTGCAGAACTTTAAACTGGTCTCCCCCTTGGAGCCAGGACTATGGGACTTTAAACTAGCTTGCCCCCAACCACCGAGCCAAAACAGGAACAGAGAGCGCACAGTGGGAAAGAGCCAGGACATGACCAGACGTTGACAAGACGAACACTAAACCCTTTCAACCTGCTGACCTCTGAGAACGGGAACAAGAACCTAGGAAACCCTCAAACTAAAACTAACAAAAACAAACATCAAACAGTCATTCGGTCCAGATAGCTGGAAGGAGTCGAATATAAAGCAACAGACGCAGGTGGACACATGAGTGATAATTAGAGACCGGGCAGAGTTAAGCAGGTGAATGACAGGAACGATTAAGGTCAGCTGTCAGGGCAGATCATGACAAGAAGTTTGTCTCTGGTCAAAAAAAGAGATGGAGTTTTAATAGAAGATGTTAAAAGATTGATTTAGACGTAAACGCTGCGAAGGAGCTTTATCTTTGCTGTAAGGGAAGACGTCTCCTCATGGATGTATCTGGCTGTTTTTAGCTGGAATGGCATCTGCACACCAAGAAATGCAGCCATCGTCTATATTTACTCTGGAACATGACTCTAAATATCACAACAATATGTGGAGAAATATGAGCCATGGCATGTTTTCAATCCCTCGTTAGGCTCACAGGATGGACAGAGAACATCAACTGGGCTGTAACTCCTGCTGTTTTAGCTCACTGTCTATGTTATAAACACCAAGGAGGAAAACATACAAACTTCTGTTCAAAAAATTGATTGGTGCTAATTTCTGTATTCTATAGAGGGATGGATTGATAGAGATGATCTAAACATTCACTTCTTCAGAATCAGAAGGGTAAAAAAAATCTGCATCTATTTGTTAAGAACAGCCTCCTTTGGCATGCTCTGCAAGCGGTATGGGAAACCCTCAGCTGTGATACGACTGCTTGAATGAAAACCAACGATCTCTTCCTCTAGTGGCCTAGTGGCTAGGGCATAGAGCTTGGAATCCTGATGTTCTGAGTTAAAGCCCCACTCCCACAGACTGCCACTCTGGATCCCTGAGCAAGACCCTTAACCCCACACTGCTCCCCGCACATTGGCAGTCCACTGATCCCCAAAGGGATGGGTTAAATGCAGAGAGTGAACTTCTCCAATGTGAGATCAATAAAGTCCAATTATTAAATAAATGCAACTAATGCTTTTTTTCATTGATAACCAAACTAAAGTAACAAAGTGGGACCAAGTTGGTTAAGAAAAAAGACTAGGGAAAAGAAAAGGGTATAAAACGACTCCAGTGTTGAGAAAGGAGACCTTTATACGGACAAACGACGAGTTGGTTCACCTCTCGTAAGAACACTTATTGGCCTGGCTGAAGAATAGAATTTAAAATCCTCCTTCTAACATATAAAGCCTTAAATGGCCAAGCTCCATCTTATATCAGAGATCTGATTGTTCCTTATGTTCCCAACAGAGCACTTCGCTCTTAATCTGCAGGTTTACTAGTGGTTCCTAGAATTTCTAAAAGTAGAATGGGAGGCAGATCTTTTATGCTCCTCTCCTGTGGAACCAACTACCAGTTTTAGTCCGTGAGGCAGACACCCTGTCTACTTTTAAGGCTAGGCTTTAAACTTTCCTTTTTGATAAAGCTTCTAGTTAGAGTGGCTCAGGTTATCCTGAGCTATCTCTATAGTTCTGCTGCTATAGGCTTAGACTGCTGGAGGACATAGGGACCCCTTTTTCATCATTCTGCTTCATTCTATCTCTATTCTCCCACTCTGCAGAACCTGTTAGTTCAATCTCTAACGTTCTGCTCTCTCTGCTTTTTCTCATAGTAGCTTCATCTGGTCTGTTCCTGTTTGGCTGTGACTCCATCCTGGAGAGAAATATCAGCTGTGCTGCTGCCATCAACACCTTTGTTTCTAGATGTTGGAGCTTGGCCTGTTTTCCAGTGTAGTCCTGTTTCTCTGACTGTGACTAACTGGATGTGCTCTCTTCATCCTCTGACATGGGAGCTGGCTCGGAGCTCATCTGCCTGGCTGTGTGTTTCCTGGACGGGGCCGCCTGTGGAGCTGGTTGACAGTTGCCTTTTGTATCTATGCTTCTTTTTCTACGTCTGCTTCTGTCTCCTTTAACCCCAGTGGGCCTCAGCAGATGGCCGCTCACACTGAGCATGCTACAATGTTTTCGAAATAGTCGAAAAATTGAGCTTTCGATTCATAGTGGCATCTGGCTGTTATTTTTAAAGGCTATATACTTTAATACTTTATGTAGTTTTTTTAAGCACATACTTTTTCACTTTAACTTGAGTAAAGAGGTCAAGTTTATACTTCAACTTTAACCAGAGTGTTTTTAAACTGCAGTATCTATACTTCTACTTAAATAGCAAATGTGTGAACTTTTGACACCACTGTTGATGCCAACGGTAATTGAACCGTCAACCGGACAGATTCCAGCTTCCAGGTTAAATGTGGGATATGGAGCACAGAGGTTTAGATTCTCTGCCGTTGCACCTCGGTACCTCCCTCCCTGCATGGGAGACTTAAAACTCCTCCACTGGCGGAGGACTGGGGATGCCAAGAGGCTCAGCAAAAAATAGAAAGCCATAAAAGCTGTCTGGTTTCAGGTAAAGCCCAGCGTACAAACAGGGTCAGAGGTCAACTTACTGACGGAGAAACCTGATCCTTACTAAACCAGTCTGCACAGACGGTTTCTTTT